CTGCCCTTATACCGCGATTCAGGAACACTAATCGGCTTAAGGTCAGGAATAAAGTCAATACAAAACTCAATGACATCCTCATTTTGATGGCCCTTGGAGATGCTTCCTTCTGGCCTAGCATGGTTATGAACATATTTCTTTAAGACTCCCATGAACCTCTCAAAGGGGAATATATTGTGTAGAAATACAGGACCCAAAATGTTAATCTCTTGGCACAGGTGAACTAGGACGTGTGTCATGATGTTGAAGAAGGATGGTGGGAACACCAACTCGAAACTGACAAGACATTGCACCAAATCATTCTGTAACCTTGGTATGATTTCTGGATCGATTACCTTCTGAGAGATTGCATTGAGAAATGCACATAGCTTCACAATGGCTAATCGAACGTTTTCCGGTAGAAGCCCCCTCAATGCAACCGGAAGCAGTTGCGTCATAATCACGTGGCAGTCATGAGACTTTAGGTTCTGGAACTTTTTCTCTGCCATGTTTATTATTCCTTTTATATTCGACGAGAAGCCAGACGGTACCTTAATACTGAGCAGGCATTCAAAGAAGATTTCCTTCTCTTCTTTGGTAAGAGCGTAGCTTGCATGACCCTGATGTATGTCGTCTTCTTCGTGCATACGTTGCTGGTCCTCCCGTGCCTCAGGTGTATCTTTTGTCTTCCCATACACGCCCAAGAAGCCAAGCAGGGTCACGCAAAGATTCTTCGTCACGTGCATCACGTCGATTGCGGAGCGGACCTCTAGGTCTTTCCAATATGGCAGGTCCCAAAATATAGATTTCTTCTTCCACATGGGTGCGCGTCCGTCAGCGTCCTTTGGAACGGATTGTCCGCCAGGACCCTTTCTAAATATCACCTTCAAATCCTTGACCATATCATGTACATCAGCACCAGTACGGTGGCGAGGCTTCGTCCGGTGATCCGCCTCACCTTTGAAATGCTTGCCTTTCTTTCTTACGGGATGCCTGCTCGGAAGAAATCGACGATGTCCCAGGTACACATTCTTCTTACAACTATTCAAATATATACTGTCGGTATCATCCAAATAGTGCGTGCATCCGTGGTATCCCTTGTTTGTCTGTCCTGAAAGGTTACTGAGAGCAGGCCAATCATTGATGGTCACGAACAGCAATGCCTTTAGGTAAAATTCTTCTTGTTTGTGCTCATCCCATGCACGTACATCTGTTCCATTCCACAGTTGTAAGAGTTCTTCAACTAATGGCCTTAGGTACACATCAATGTCGTTGCCGGGTTGTTTAGGGCCTTGGATGAGCACTGGCATCATAATGAACTTCCGCTTCATGCACAACCAAAGAGGAAGGTTATACAAATATAGAGTCACAGGCCAGGTGCTATGGTTGCTGCTCTGCTCCCCAAAAGGATTAATGCCATCTGCGCTTAGACCAAACCATACGCTCCTTGCGTCATCTGCAAACTCCTTCCCGTATTTTTTTTGATTTTTCTCCACTGCGACCCATCAGCGGGTACTCTCAACTTTCCGTCTTTCTTACGGTCTTATCTGTGCCATCGCATCGCCTTGGCATGCTCTTTGTTTTGGAACAAACGTTTCAACCGTGGTATTATAGGAGAATACCACATCACCTTGGCAGGAATCTTCTTCCTGGGGCGCTCGCCCTCAACATCACCATGCTCATCGCGGCTGATCTTATAGCGCAATGCACCACATACCGGGCAAGCGTTCAAATCCTCGTACTCACCGTGGTAGAGGATGCAATCATTAGTGCATGCATGTATCTTCTGCACCTCTAACCCTAGAGGGCAGACAGCCTTCTTTGCTTCGTACGTACTCTCGGACAATTCGTTGTCCTTTGGAAGCATATCCTTTATCATTATCAGCAACTTTCCAAATCCCTTGTCAGATACACCATTCTCTGCCTTCCATTGCAGCAATTCCAGTGTGGTGCCCAGCTTTTTCTTGTCACCTACACAATTCAGGTACAACAATTTTTATTGATCCTCTAACATGCGCTGCAACTTCTTCTTCTCCAAATCACTTGCGCAGTTTCTCTTTGCATCGGCAATGGCCCGACCTAGATCATCAACGGGCTCATCTGATGCCTCTTCTTCAGCTTCTTCCCGCATTGCCGGCTCAGCTTCTTCCCGCATTACCGGCTCAGCTTCTTCCCCCATTGTTGTATCATCGTATTCAGGGAACCCATGGCCAGGATAGCTGTCGTCGTCCTCTTCTTCTTCATTGTCTTCCATCATAACCCCTCTTTCTCCGTGCTTGGTCCAAACATTATAGTGGGGCATGAAACCGGACTCAAACAGGTGGACGTGAATGGTTCTTGACGTAGAGTAATTGCGACCATTCTTACAGCCAGCACATGGACAAGGCATAAAACCATCCGCCCGCTTGTTTGCCTCAGCCGCAAGCAGAAAAGTATGCACGCCCTCAACGAACTGGGGAGAGCATCGATCATCGTACATCCATTGTCGGCTCATCTTCATTACACAACACCAAATAGACCAAATTAATACAAGTTCATAAATAAAGTTCATACAACACTTAAATGCAACAAACAAATAACTCTCTAGCTAAAGCATTTAAATGCAACAACAAATGCGATCAAGATCGCAACTAAGGTAACAATTGATCCAACAGCATAATGATATCAAGCCTCACTATCGATGGCATATTTTCTAATCTTTCTAATCTTCAAGCGCATTTTCTCCTTCTTGATCTTGTGATCATCGACGACATCGGCAACATGCAACTCCAATTCCATCTTCTCCCCCTCAATTCTTTTCAATTTTTCTTTCAAGTACTCGTTTTCTCTTTCAACTAAATTTAACCTCTCGACAATAGGGTCGGTTGGAATTTCCGGTTCACATACCTCCTAGATAAAAATATCTATGTCAACTTGATGGGCATAATTTTTCATAAACACGAAATGCAACAAATAGTTTTAAAAGAGAATATACCATATCCGAATCATAACAAGGACGAGGGGCGACGGGGACGGATATCAAAACCATGGCACTATGTATAACAAATAACGTACGGGTAAGATAATTATTATACGAGTAACTATATATCCAAATCACACAAACATCAATTTTTTATATAAAATTTCATGAACAAGAGGCTCACCACAAGGTGGTGCCGGCGACGGGACGGTGCGGGCGATCGACGGTGGTTACGACGGAGATTGAGAAGGCACTAAGTAAACCACACCTACATATGCAAACTAAGTGTTATTTTAACCTCAAATTGCATATAAATCAAATACTAGCACATATATATATATCCTCCCAAATTACTAAACTCACAAATTAATAATTATATAAAGCATTGCAAGAGCTAATCTAGCAATGAGAGATGAAAGGACAAAGTTGCTAACCTTTGTGATCATTTGAATGGATGGGGGCCTTCAAATCTTGACAAATTTTGGGCAAAATGTGTGATGAGCTCGAGAGGAAGAGGGGAAGAACAGAGCGAGCTCGGGTGGACGAAGGGTTTATGTAGGACGACCTTTAGTACCGGTTCATGCCAAGAACCGGTACTAAAGGTGCTGGAGGGGGCCCAGACTGACAACATCCTGCCACCACTCTCATTAGTACCGGTTCGTGGCACGAACCGGTGCTAAAGGTTAGCCACGAACCGGTACTAATGAGAGCGGCCCGGCTAGCCGTTGGAACCGGCACTAATATATACATTTGTGCCGGCTCAAATACAAACCGACACTAATGTGCTTCACGTTTGACCCTTTTTCTACTAGTGTCTAGACATCGAAGTTGCGCACAACTTAATTATTTTTTAAACAAAATAAGAAAAAAAAAAGAATAATAATACACAGCGAGCAACCACAGCGAACGAATGAGAGAAGTGGACGGCGAAACATTTATATCATATCATGCCTATCCACTAGACTCATTTGATACCAGCAAGAAGTGCATCTCCTCACAAGTCACAAATATGATCACATATCACCATAAGGCTCGTTGCCTTGATATTGGAAATTTTGTTGTTCCTTTCTCTTCAAATGCACGACCAAAAATAGGAGAATGCTTTCTCTTGATTTTCCTTCTATATTTGTACAGTGTACAACTCTGTTTATGATGTATTGGGGTTTTTCCTCTCTTAGTGAATGAAACACAGGAAAGAAGGCAACGCTGCTGCATTTTGCTTAATTCACTAGATCTGTGGGTTGGATCAATGCTAGGTCTAGCCGCCAAGTTACTTAACTACACACATCTTACCTATCCATATTTCTACGTTGATGAGGTACGTACTAGAACATAGTAAAAAGGACATGAAAGGTTGACACAGGGTTAGCAAAAGGAAAGCGTGAGCAGTCCAACCATGCAAGCCAATCAACGGGAACATACGCCGGGCTGGAATCCATGCCCTACTGCTACAATGAAAATAATTAGTGAGGGCCGGAGTGAAGGGTAGAAAAGGGCCATGGTCCTTGTGAAAGAAACGGATGGGGAGTCATTTTCGTGTGCACCACTGGTCCTTGCGACAAGAGGATGCCCGTAGCTAGAGCTGACCCTCCCCACTAACGCTACTCCACTACTGTCTTTGTCATATCTATGTTTGTATGCATGTCGGTCTGTACCTACCGGCAACACTGCTCAGCACGCCACACAACAGTACAATACATATCACATCTATACATCTTAGGTATGGGTGCCCCTACATAAACGTGTGGTGTGGCGTGAGCAAGGGACAAGGCAACTAACAGATTTTTCTGTTTGCAACAGGGTGCAACTAATAGAGTTGAAATAATGTTACTGGATATGTTGCTGTGCCGATCCACACACGCACCGACGGCACTGGTTTACAGGGATTGTTGCACACGCGTCCGGGTCTGATTGGCTCCTCCACCCTATAAAACCACACCGTATGTATCTTCACTTCTCCACACAGAGCACACCGACCCACCATCCATCTATCCATCCATCCAGGCTAGAAGCAGCGGCCAACAAGTGCACCCCTAGCTGCGAGCACAAGGAGCTGGCAGCAATGGCGAGGCATCGCCTCCTTGCCGTGCTCATGCTCCTCGTCGGGGTAGTGGCAGCCTCCACTTTCCACCAAGCGGCCGCCGCTGGCCGGGGCCTTGCTGTCCTCGAGAAGTTTGCGGACCTGGAGCCAAAGCCAAAACCCAAACCAGAGCCAATGCCCAAACAAATGCCGAAGCCTGAACCAGAATCAAAACCAAAGCCCAAGCCGATGCCAAAACCCGAACCCAAGCCCAAGCCGATGCCCAAACCTGAACCAAAGCCAGAGCCCAAGCATAAACCAATGCCTAAGCCAGAGCCCAAGCCTAAACCAATGCCTAAGCCGGAACCGAAGCCTAAACCTGAACCAAAACCAAAGCCACCACCAAAGCACAAGCCGCCAACAGCTTACAATTGATGGGATACTATATATGCAAACTGAAGGATCGAGGAGATCATGGCCAGAGCCACAATCGCGATATTTCTAGAATAAGTGGTGTAGTAACAATGTCATTCTATCCGGCTAGCTCCATAGTGATGCATCTTTCTGTATTCTATGTATTTCGTTACATTTACAAAGTTTCTGTTTCATGTACCCATGATGAGTATCACAACCTTGTAATTGTTAGCTGCTTGTTGGTGTACGTTCAATTTTGTACGTGACTCATTGTTCTATTTGTGTATCTATATGCATGATTTTATTCATTCGCATGAATGAGTTATTTTGTCCAGGGGACCGCAGGCTATGTTGTTTTTCTCCATGGGATGCAGTATAACATTTGTTTGGAGAATATTGCACTGGAGCAAGCGATATTCTTGCATGTCTAGACTTTATATGTGACAAGTAAACTCATGAAATTTTTGGAAGGTTTTATCAAAGGTAGAAACGCAGCTCCTTTGTAAAGTCAAGAATAGGAGTTTATATTCCCATAATTTGGAATAGATCTAAGTAGCTTGGGCCATGGGCATCATTAGTGGCAAAGAATATTCCTTTTGTTGAGGAACAAAGATACCATCATGCATCTTAACATCCACCAAAACTCCAAATGAAATCCAAAGAAAAAGATGATGATAGCTTATAAACCCCTTCCACTAAAATGAGGATAGCTTATAAAACCATTCAATCGGTCCTGAAGTTTGAAGTCCAAAAAAGTTAATTTAATACTTCACTACATGTCGCTCTGGTATTTTTTTCAAAACGGGGGAATACCACCGGCATTTGCATCATGTGATGCACACAACCATTTTTATTTAAGTATTAATATCCGATACAAGAGATAAGAACAGAACTTCAATTGACTCGTCAGCCAAACCGGTTGAATGTAACTTGTGCTATCGTCTCCCCGCAACTGCACACCAAGAACCATAGGCACCTAATCATCTGCACATTCTAGAGAGCACCAAGTATAGATACATCATGTGGCTTGGAAGATAACCAGCAACAAATTTAATTAGTTGTACGATTAAAATACAATCATAAAGGCAATACAATATTGCCCATAATAAGGCACACATGCCAACGCGCATAAGAGCCTTGGTGGTTACGACCTTTCAAATGATGGGTAGAAAAATTATATATTTTGGTTGTGTTGTTATCGCGCTCTTGCATACCATGTGTGAGATTCTTGTTTGACTTCAGCTATAGTTTATTTCTTTTTGTTACAACTTTCACTTCGTTTGAAGCTTGCAGGTTGTAGCCTCCACTCCGTTCGACGGGGAATCAGTTGCCCCAATGCCGCTACCCCGGCATCACACACCCATATCAGTGAAGCCACCTCCACCACCCCACAATCCAAGGACACACACATATCCGCCAAGGGAAGGTTTAAGGCTCCCGGCTAGCATGAACGGTGGAGTAATATTTTTGGAGAAAAGGGATAGATTCCAAATGCCTTGGTTCCACGACATTACGTGAATACCGTCCGTTGTCTCCTTTGTTACCAGGTGTGTACCTTTAAGAAAATTGTGAAAATACACCCAAAGGGCATCTCATAGCTGACATTTATCAACGAAAATGATGGACGGCACAATGAAAAGATAACAAGATACAAAGCGACTT